CGATGGCTATTCATTTAAGTCTTCGGGTAGCACCACTAGATCTTCAACAAGGTGGAAATTCTCGTATTCCCTATGTACATGTTCCTGCGGCTCGGATGAGTATTCTTGTTTATATCGCTACGGCTATAAACACTTTCTTGTTCCTATTAACAAAACACCCCCTTTTTCTTCGCTCTTCCGGAACCGGTACAGAAATGGGTGCTTTTTTTACGTTGTTTACCTTAGTTACTGGAGGGTTTCGGGGAAGACCTATGTGGGGCACCTTTTGGGTGTGGGATGCTCGTTTAACCTCTGTATTCATCTCGTTCTTTATTTACCTGGGTGCACTGCGTTTTCAAAAGCTTCCTGTCGAACCGGCTTCTATTTCAATCTGTGCTGGACCGATCGATATACCAATAATCAAGTCTTCAGTCAACTGGTGGAATACATCGCATCAACCTGGGAGCATTAGCCGATCTGGTACATCAATACATGTTCCTATGCCCATTCCAATCTTGTCTAACTTTGCTAACTCCCCCTCTCAACCCGTATCTTCTTTGTTCTGGAAACACGTCTTCCTATTCCATCTTTTCTCGAATCTCCTTTAACGGAAGAAATAGAAGCTCGAGAAGGAATACCAAAACCTAGTTCACTCGCTGACTCTCTTTGCATCCATGGCTGAATGGTTAAAGCGATCAACCGGATAATAGAGTGGGTTCGATTCCTGCTGGATGCACTTTGAACGTTCAGTTCAATCGCTGCTCACGGAATTTATACATATAGCTCGCCCTTATAGCTTATGGGGCACTTCACTCGCTCAACACTCGTTCAAAACATCCACTCCTTCTTCACTCGCTAGGGAAAGAAAAGGGATAGATGACTGAAAATCCCGCTTAGAGATCGAAACTATAGTCAGAGTAGGAGTTCCCATCCATCATCTCCGTCGAGGCCTCGTTTTACCTTCCAATTACGGTTGATCCGTCGGATTGAAACCTCCATTAGATTCGGAAACTAAGGACGAGATTACCATCGCATCGGCTTTGATGTCCCGAATGTTCTCTTTAATAGGGTCGCCTTGATCGGGCTCTTCACCGTAGAACTTTTACCCGAAAAACTGGAGCACAGCTATACTTTCATCGCTTTCACTAGAACCAGAGTCATAGGTGCACTTTTTGTTTTGCCTTCCTTAAGTCCAGGGACGACCCCCTATGTTTTTTCGTGGAGCACAGAATTTTCCTTAATCGGCGAGAGTATATACAATCTATGCCACTGGAAAGAGCATGATTGAGGGCTTTATACTAAAGTCTGTAACTCTTCAATTGGTCATTGGCTCTACCTCCAGCCCCTTCATATTCCGTATCCTGCTGCTTCTTTGCTTGCTTTTCCTATGTCCCATCCCTCTCCCCTTATCAGTCGAGTCAATTACCGCTAAAGCCCTCGACCTCTTCGTTGCTTAACTTGAATTGAAAGCTTTCAGTCATCAAGCTTACCTGCCCTAGCCAAGCCTAAGTGGTGTGTCAAACAACCGAAAGCAGACGGTTATACAGTCCCTAGCGCGTGCAGCAAGGAGCATGGTGAAGCGCTGCGCAAAGGAAACTAGCCTTTTGTTCCACTTTGTTGATCGTTGTAGAAAGAAGAAAATATGAAATGATTGAGGTTGAGAAAACCCTGCCGAGAATCGAGAGGCGGGAGGGCACCGAAGCTACCACCAGACTAGCGAAAGGTTTCCCGACGAGGAGAAAGATGAGCGAATGGAATGACATCATGTATGAAATTACCAACCTTCCGGAAGTCAACTCCTCGCTACCGAGGCAGAAAGGCTAGTAAGTTCGGGGCCTCATTCATACTATTAGATGATGCTTCTAGTCGTCGGTGAGCCCTGTGTATCAGCCCGCTTGGATGAAAAATGCCTCCCAGAAGGAGAATGAGCCCTTGCAAAAAGGAATTTCAAGTGGTGTCGAATCAAATAAGTGAGCGAGCCCCCACACCAAGCCGTTAGAGTAGGTTATAAAGAATGGCAATTCCACCAGGCCAGCGCTCTCAGGTTGATGAGCTGCCGGGTAAAGAGCCTGATCCTTATCTAGCAGTTCAATAGGCCAAGCGGAGGTCTCAGAGGTGTAGGTGGTTCAATTGTAAAGTAGGCATTAAAATCCTGCTTCCTTGGACCAGAAGCTGTAGCCGAAGTCTACTACTGAAAAGGATCAGCTCCTCCAGCCAGTTTCGGAAGGGGAATCCGCTCGGACTCTCACTCGTAGTCGAAGAGCCAGATAAACTCCTTTTAAAAAGGCATAACTCTTCTCAAGCTGCCCCTTTTTCAAAAACAGGAAGAAAAGCAGCTACCACTTGAAACCATTCTCCCTCTAGAAGCCCCGCAGTTTGAAAATCAATCAAGGCTTCAAGTTCACAAGTACGAAAAGACCTGAGAGGAAAGAGCTGCGTATAGAGCTCCGGATTCTTTAGCAACTAGGAGAGCGACGGAGCTTCTTTTTGAAAGAAAAGGCTAAATCCCATTCTTCATTCAACCCCAAACTTCCTTACCTGCCTTAGTTCGATGGAATGCAACTAGATGAAATTCCCTCCTGGACTAAATAGCTGGGGGCTTATATGGCTTGATTGAGGTTGGCCGGAGCTAAGGGATCTGGCTCTATTGAACCAAAGCCAAAGGTAAATCAGAGCTCTTTCTCTTTTATATAGTAGAGAGACTCCCCCTCAGTAACCAAATTCTAGAGCTAGGAGAGCGGACGATTCTTTTTCTTTCTAACCGCAGCTTTCCTCCATCCCGGGCTTAAGAATGCCTTGAAAGCCAGAAACTATCTAACCATACCAGTCGTTCACCCAATAAAAACTTGCCCCCGCACTCCCACTACCAATGAGAGGACTGAAAGCGGCCTACTTGAGAAAGAGAAGAGTTTGTGAAGCTGACCTCCACACAAATAGACTAAGATGGTATTCCCTTTGTTGAGTGGGAGGAGGAGAGTCTGCTGCTAGCAAACAGCAGATACAGATTTTCTTTGATATCACGATTCGGTGATAGGAGGCCTACTCTCAAGGAGATTAGAGAGTGGTGCTCCAAGGCATGGAGCTTGACTGGTAAGATCTCTCTTGCTGCTCTAAAAAAAGGTTTGATTTGGATTCATTTTGAATGTGAAGAGAACAAAGTTTTGGAGAAGGGGTTGGGTATGGAAGACCGCGATGTTCTTGCATCGATGGTGCCCGGGGCTTGACTTGGACGAGTTGCTCCTATCGGCATGGGTGGTTGGGTACGAAATGAGTGGGGTAGAGGAAATTTATTTTAGCAGTAAAAAGCATACGAAGAATGTTATAATGGAGAGTGCGGAAGATGGTCTATGGGAAACTCCAAGAAAAAAGAGAGAGTAATAAGCAGGAGTCGAGACAAAGAGCAGCGGGAGTAGACAGAAGGGTGTACGTATCAACGATTGGCAGGTAGCTATTCACACGCGAATAAAGTAAAGAAAGAATAGATCTTCCGGTAAACTCGGAGCGGGGGCATTACTCAATCTCAGTAAGAGTAGCTGCTTGGGGTGGACGGACAAGGCTTGGAGTATATAAGGGCGTCAGTCTGACCGTCCTTCCTGTCCTGTTTTCGACATTCTTTCTTAAGTGAGTGTCCCAAGGTAATGAAATGGAAAGGGTAATGCTCAATTCCGCAATGCTAGTCCATTGCATTGATCTGTAGCTCTATGGGGAAGCCAAAACTAAGAAATAGGAGAATACGGTCCATTCACAAGGGTTCCTCATCAATCCACTACCCATGCCAACTAGACTTAGGCTATGCAACTAAATCGAGTATGTATTCTTTCAGAACCATAGGTCGAATTCCATATAAGAATGGTCGTTCTGCAGCCTCTTCCCTGTTCCCGTGCCTAAGAATGCTAAGCCAGAAAATCGAGAGCTTAGTAGCCGAGAGTTTAATGTAGTGTTATCAGTCAATCTACGCTGCTGAGGCTGGATGGAATTAAGGATCGATTGCATCATATGATATGGAGCTGCAAAGGCAGAAAATGTCTGAGCAACAAGACAAGATAGTTAGTTAAAGAATCCCACCCATCCGAGTTCGCCGATAGCAATGTAGCCAAGTAGCTTTTGGATTCGGGTTGAACTTCAATTCCATTATCTTTATCTCTTAATTAGTAGCCTGGGAAAGGTAATGCAATTGAGACTGTCCTTTCGTGGACGGATAGTGCTAAGAGCAGCTCCGAATGAATGAAGCTCTCCCTTTATTAGATGGATTTTAAATCCCCTGAAATAGACCAGCAGCTTCTATTATATAGTCTAGACTTAACTGGTATTAATATAATCTATTCGCTGTCATTTTTTTAAGGCCTCATGTTAGCCTCCTCCACTTCATAGGAGCCTGATATGCAATAACCTGATTACAGAAAGTCGCATAGAAGGAGTTAGTGACTGTAGGGTTTCTGAACTAGGAAGAGCATTATAAAGCAACTGCGGTCCTAGGAACGTTAGGGGAGAGCCAGGCTGCGACCCATCTTTTCAAAGCAAGAGCGAGGCCAAGAAGCA